TCTCTCTCTCTCTCTCTCTCTCTCTCAAAAAGAAATAAACATTATAAAAAGTAATAAAAAGTATAACAGGCATTCTATCTTTTATTAAAATAGATAGATAGCCAATAGTTGCCTTTATTGGCTTTTATTGTAGATGTATCTATTTTGACAAAACCAATTGAGCAGAAGCTCTGATCAGCAATTAAATGTGTAGAGGTCTCTCACTACCCAAACTTATGCTTTCAGAAAGAAGGGGACTCAGTTGATTTAGATAACATTATGTCCTTCACTATGCAGACAGGGGTCTGTGCATATGCTCTCTGAACTTGGGAACCACAGAGATTCACATAGTCAGGATATTTGAATTTGATGAGGAAATGAAATATTTCTTGATTAAGTATCATTTGTTACATAAGTTATTTCAAAACTAGGGTCCTTGGTAATAAATTAGGGAAGTACTGCCTTAGTTTTGATAGTACCTACAATCTCTGCCTAAGGAATTGTTCTTTGTGGAAGAAGATGAACTTTACCAAGTGGCCACTCTGTTTAAAACCTTTGACTACTTTGTGAGTATCTTTGCACATTCATGCTCATATTTGGCATGAAATTCCTGTAAGTGGGTTTGATGGCTATTAAGTTATATACATTTTTTTAATGTCTATTTATTTTTGAGATAGCATGCACGTGCAGGGGAGGGGCAGAGAGAGAGGGGAACAGGAGATCCAAAGTGGGCTCTATGCTGACAGCAGAGAGCCTGATGCAGGGCTCAAACCCACGAACCAGGAGATCATGACTTGAGCCGAAGTTGGATGTTTAACCAACTGAGCTACCCAGGTGCCCCTTAAGTTACATAAATTTTTAAGCTTTGATACACTGGGAGATTGTACTAATTTTTAATTCTAGTCTGATCTATCCCTGTATTTTCCTCAAAGTTTTTTTCTTTTTTTTAAGATTTTATTTTTAAGTACTCTGTATACCCAGCATGGGCTCAAATTTGAACATCCCCTAGATCGAGACTCGCATGCTCCACTGACTGAGCCAGCCATGCCCCCACCCGCTTTTTATTTCTATTTTTATTCTATTTAGACAAGGTAGTATATTTACAAAGTTCTAAATTCAAAAGCTACAAAAAAGTACAAAGCCAGAAAGTCTCTCACTTCTGTTTACCACTCATGTAGTTCTCCTCTGGGGAAGCTATTTTTTGAATATTTTTCTAGGATTATTCTATGCATTACATTACATATATATATATGTATGTATGTATTTTATGTACATACATTTTATGTATATATGTATATGTATATACATTTTATGTATATATGTATATGTATATGTATATACATTTTATGTATATATGTATATATGTATGTATTTTCCCCCTCCTCCTCCTCTGTTTTTACTCAGAAAATAGCTTATTATACTCATTGTTCTATTTCTTCCTTTTTTTCCACCTAATTATTTTTTAAATGTTTATTTACTTATTTGTTTTGAAAGAGAGTGAGAGAGCGAACGAGCAAGCATGCTAGGGAGGGGCAGAGAGAGGGAGAGAGAGAATTCCAAGCAGGCTCTGTGCTGTCAGTGTGGAGCCCAACATGGGGCACGAACTCATGAACCCTGAGATCATGACCTGAGCCAAAATCATGAGTCAGACGCTTAACCAACTGAGCCACCCAGGCACCAACCCCCCCCCTTTTTTTAAGTAAAGTACAAATTTTATTCAGATTTCACCAGTTTTCCAACAGTGTATCTTGGAGATTTTAAAGTGGCAATACAAAAGGAGCTTCCTTTTTGTTTTATATACCAACTTTGTAATCCATTGTGTTGACGGTATCATAATTTATTTGCCCATTGCCTTGATGATGAATATGTGAGTTGTTTCTGGTATTTTGCTATTATGACTAATGCTGTATTTCATGATGTTATTTCAGACATGCATAGGGAGCTACTTGAAACCATTCGGTCATGACTCCTGGTAGTTATCTCATGATGTTAAATAATTTTGATAAATATCATGCTTTTACTTCTATTTCTCCTTTTCCTCCAACTTTTTTTATTTTGAAAAATTTCAAGCTTACGGAAAAGTTGAAAGAATATTTTGACCGCTTTTGAAAGTGAGATTTTGTTTCATCTGCCTTTTTCTTTTTTTCTCTTTTGTAACAAACTTTGTTTCCCAGGGGTTGGTGCCATCTACATTCGCCGCCGACCCCGTGTACGTGTGGAGGCCCTGCAGAGTGGAGGGGGGCAGGAGCGGGGTATGCGGTCTGGGACAGTGCCCACACCCTTGGTGGTGGGGCTGGGGGCCGCGTGTGAGGTGGCACAGCAAGAGATGGAGGTATGGGGAGAGCAGTTCCCTTCCTCAACTTCTTCCCCTGTGCTGGGTCTCCACTTAGAGGGTTCTCAGCACAACTGAGTCAGACTTCTGCCGGAAGAGGAGGTTTAAGAAATCCATCCTTGTCCCAGTGCTGCTGACATTTTGTTTGGAGGGAGGTGTTATGGGCTCCAAAATCCAGGCCTTTTCAGAAATTATTGGCTCACTTATTGGTAGCTTATTGGAACCATGTGTCCAGTTATTGAGCACCTTTGCATGCCAGGTGCTGTGCTCAGTGCTGGGGATACAGTGGTCTCCATGAGTAACACAGGATGATAGGTGGGTCTGATGCATAGTCACTTCTGGGCACGGGAATAGGACTCCTTGTCTTGTGTATTTCTGAGCTGCTAAGGGTCACTATGCTTAGTCCTCCCTTGCCTGCTCCTCAGTATGACCATAAGTGGATCTCAAAGTTAGCAGAGCGACTGACAAAGAAAATAATGAATAGCCTTCCCGATGTGGTGATGAATGGGGACCCTGAGCACCATTACCCAGGTATGGACATGCCCTTTCTATCTTCATTCTGGAAGAGCCTGAGACTTTGCAACTCCTCTCACAGTGATTCTCTCTCCAGGCTGTATCAACCTCTCCTTTGCATATGTGGAAGGGGAGAGTCTGCTGATGGCACTCAAGGATGTTGCCTTATCCTCGGGGAGGTGAGTTGGACTGGATAGACAGGAAGGGTTCATCAGCCTGGCCTCTAAGTGGTATAAGACATTATTAGGCTTCCTAGTGTGGAGATGTCAGGCACAAGAGCTCCTGGTCATCTTGTAAGTGCCTGTTTTTTAGCTGGCTTGGCACTCGCTGAAGTTTGTGATCTTAGGAGGGCTTCCTGGGGTAGGACTTTGTGCCTTTTGTGGTCCCAGGAGATGCATGCATCTGATCTAATGTTATACTAGCAGTTCTGTTGCAGAACCCCAGAATTGAAGGATGTTCCAAAGGCCACCAAGGGTTTAGCTGCCATCTAGGCTGGTACTGATGGTGTGTTCAACCATAGGAGAGTGAGCACCTGGTTCTCTGCTGCCTGTGGTTGTCAGTCCCAGTTTATGTGGTATCATGCTCTGTCATGCTTTGGGAGTGTCCATGCTGAAGGGTCAGAGGAGCTAGGGTCACATCCCAGAAAATGCAGGCAGCATTGGGCCCTTTAGCTCTACCAGATTAGAATGTCTCTTGTATCTCCATATAATGACTTCAGGGACCTGGGGTGGGAGCAAGATGAGAGATTTGTGGCTAAAAGCAGATGCTGATGATGAATTGAGCAAGACTCCTTGTCTTTCTTCTCAGTGCCTGCACATCTGCATCCCTGGAGCCCTCTTATGTCCTTCGAGCAATTGGCACTGATGAGGATTTAGCTCACTCTTCTATCAGGTCAGTCGGTTGAGCTGCAACATTTATGAAACCATCCTCTTTTGTATTCTTCACTTCCTGTTATAGTCTCCTCATACTTGTTTTTCTTATCCCTTCTTGATTCTTCTTGAAAGTTCCTAGTGCAGCAATTCTCAGAGCTCATTGAGTATCCTCTGGAAGTTTGTGAAAGTTGAAGATTTCTTTTATTTATTTATTTATTTTTTTTTTCAGTTTGTAATAATTTATTTTTATTTATTTATTTTTTGACTTTTATTTATTTTTTTAATTTACATCCAAGTTAGTTAGCATATAGGAAAGTTGAAGATTTCTGAGTCTCACACTCAGAGATTCTGACTCACTAGGACTGAAGAGAAATAGGAAACGTCTCGGTGACTCTAATATGGGTGATCCACAAACCCTGTTCTGAGAAACTCTGACCATGTTCTTTTCCCATGTTTTTTTGTGGAATAGATTTTCATTGAGTATTTGCTGAATGAATTTACCCTGGTGCCAGAGTTCAGATGTGGAGCTCTTCTCTTATGCTTTTTTTCAGGTTTGGCATTGGCCGTTTCACTACAGAGGAGGAAGTAGACTATACAGTGGAAAAGTGCATTCACCATGTGAAGCGTCTTCGAGAAATGAGGTATGCACTATGCCCCAGAGACCCTGTGGAAGAAATTGAAGTCCTGACCCTTCTCTTGCTCTCAGGCTATGTGTTCACACTGACAGAAACCAGCCTTTGAGAACACATGGATCTTAGGATTTAGAAGTTCCACAAAATTGGGGCTGCTGGCTGGCTCAGTTGGTAGAACATGTGACTCTTGATCTTGGGGTTGTGAGTTCAAGCCCCACGTTGGGTGTAGAGCTTACTTAAA